GACCAAACTTTATTACATGTACAGACACATCTATATCACAACAAGAAGAAAATATGCTTATTGCCATCCTCATTTCTACAACTGACCGCACGACTACTGCTAGTTTTTAGACCTTTCACTTTCTACTGTTAGTGGGGATCACGGACATCCAGCACACTCAGGTGGGATCGTCATCCATCTTGAACACTGAGCTGGGATCTGCCACCCTCTGGTCATCATCAGGTGACCCCTTTGTGCAGTAGTCCAGCCCAGGTCTTCCCAACTCCCAAGCACCTCAGCAGAGCCCAAGGCCTCACCTGCTCTAGTCACCCCCTCTTGGCAGCTGCCTGGCTCAAGGGAGGCAAACAGATTAGAGGTGAGAGTGCCGAGGAGGGGAGCGGCATCTGCCCATACTGCCAAATTCCCATATCCACACACTCCCCCCACCTTCCATCCCCACATTTTAACCTTTCAGTCTGGCCCCTGGTCCTCCTGATGGGTACAAAATTCAACTTTGCCTTCAATTAATGTAATCTCTCGTTCTCTCTCTTGCCCTCCCTCTGAAATCCAATAGATTTTAGACTGTCTTCACTCAAATTACACCTACGAGGCATGTATTAACTCTCTTGGATCAAAGCTGGGTAGCTGCGTTGATTACAGACCGGGGTTCATGGATTTAGACTCTGCATGAACACATTTTGCTTCATACCAAGGAAAAGCCCGTTTCAGAACTTCAAAGTCTAACCCCCATAGCCAGCTAGTTCTCAAATGTGTGCTGGTGGTCAAGGGCAAGGATAACGTATGTGATGGTTCAGTGCAAGCCCTACCCCTATTCCTAAGAAACCAACAGATTAGACTCCTCCTTTAATGATAGATGTTTTAATGGCAAGGGGTGAGATTTTTCTTTTTTTAAAAAAGGGAAAACTGGTCAAAATGTTAGTATCATCTGAATAAGCTTTGCCAGTAAAAGCCCCCCAAATATCCAGGTTAGAATGCCAGTTTCCAAATCCTCTTTCCTGCCACATGTACATGTATACGTACACGTACACACACACACACACACACACACACAGAAAGAGAGAGAGAGAATTTTATAAAACAGGTCAAATGGATTTAAACTAGTATAAGGGAGTAGGTTTCAGTGTCAGAAGGACATGGGCTCCAGTTTCGTTCTGCTCCTACTGTGATTCCTTTATCATATTATTTAACATCTCTAAGCATCCTCATTGGTAAAATGAGGATAAGTATAATTTTGTTAAGAAAACTATTCCCAAACTTTAAATGAGGTGAAATGGGCTGTGACATGACCTTTCAAAATCTTCCTGGGGCACTAACCTGCCTAAGATTTACTTCGTTACCTAGGAAATGCACTTGTGTTTGACTTTCTTTCTTTTTTTTACTCGTTTAGAGTTCAGATGCTCTGAAGTTACATGCTAATTCATAGACTTCTGTCCAATAGAAAAGATAACCCCAAAGGTCGTGGTTTTATTGCCCTGTAGGACAGTAATCAGTTTTGAATCTATCCTAGAAGTCTTATTGCAATGCTTTTTTTCCCTCAAAATGCCTATAAGTACCAAGTTCCTCATAATGCTCTTGGAATCAGCTTAACCCATTTATGGTTCTGATCATCAATGAGTTGAATAAATTCTTGACAGGTGTTCATTCTGTATTTGTACGAGATTGTTTTTAGTTCTTTAAAAATTATACTTTTGAGAGTACCTATCTTAAGAAATTGCTATGAGAATTAAATAAAATAAAGCAAATAAAGTAATTAATAAGGCCCTGACACATATTAAGCAGTTAATGAATGTTAGCTATTATTATTAGCTATAATTAAATGCAGCATGATCCACAGGAAATAAAAAATGTAATATATCCAAACTTCACTCAGAGACACCCATGTAGACAAGTCAAAAGAAATAAAATTAAGAAACTATTCACGCTGAGCTCTAGCTTGATTTCCCTGGAGATTTTTGAATCCTCCAGAATGCAGCCCAATGAACTAAGCTTTTGAATTAGTAGCCATTTTCGTGGATGACGCCAAATCTTATAATCACTGGGATCTATAACTGTACACAGAATAAGTATTCTATCTCATAAAAATATATAATTTTTCCACCACACGTGGCCAGTAACAGAAAATAAAACGAAAATATGGTTTAGAGTAAAAAATAATATTTTTACCCTCCATCCTGCTTTGATATACCTAATTGTTATCCCTCATTTTATTTCCTTCCATTTTAGTGAAGGAAGGGTTATTCCCTGTTTTTTTCCCCAAAGTCTGTAATAGCTATGTCTTTCATCTTGTCCTTTGTCTGATTCCAATAACTGCCAAAAATAATGGTGTTTTCCCATGGAAAACTTGTCCCTTAAAAGAAACTAAAGGATAATAAAGGGACAAGTATGACCAATTTCTCCAACTTCACTATGATTTTGGTTGCTATTTATGTTCAAATAATTTTCTCAGATTATAAATCTTGAAAAAGAGAACTCAATCAATTTTAGCTTTTGTTGTTTGGACTGGGGGGGGAGGGCAGGTAAATGTTGGAACAACACTTTAGAAGTAATTCACAACCTTTCCATACTGATATCTAAAGAAGAATGAGAAACCATCTATAGAAAGAAACACACATACTGGGGCATAATATTTCTACACACAAGTACAAGGGAACCAGATGGAACTGGAGGTTACTCTGCATTATACACAAAACCACAGAGAGGCTAGGTCATCAAATACTTTTTAAATACCTTCAAACACTGAAATACAATGCAGGAACCAACTGCACTCAGTTAAAAAAAAAAAAAAAGCAAACAAATACATATAGGGACTTAAATCAAGGTTAAACATTCAGCTGTTGTTCAGTTCCAGTGACCAAAGAAGAGCAAGCTGAATTTAAAATAAAGTGAAGGCAAAGAACACATGTAGTAATGAAGCGTTTTCTATATTTACAGAGCTTACTTAGGTGTCTACACAAGTTCAGAGGTGAACACAAGCTCAGCATATTCAGCCACATACACATACATTTGCATGTACGTACGTACACACGTATTTTATATACATTCACACGATTGTATGCACATTTGCCAGCCTTTAAAATGAGAGAATACCACCAAGCAAGTAGAGAAATCAGAGTTGAGGTAGCCCTCATTCAAGATTATTCTAGTCCGTTGCCACTCAAAATGTGGTCCCTGGATCAGCAGCATCAGCATCACCTGGGAGCTTGTTCAAAATGCAGAATCTCAGGCTTCACCCCAGATCTGCTGAATCAGAACCTAGCTTTTAACCAGACTAACTGCCGGCGATTTGTATGCCCAAATTAAAGTCTGAGAAACACTGCCCTAGAACCGTGATAACTATCTTCAAAGCTATCAGTCGCCCGTGTCTATCCAGTAATTGAAATGTGATTAGTGAGACTGAGAAACAGCATTTTTCATTTTAGTTAAAATTAAAATTTGGAAAATTATACCTGATTCAGTGATTGGACTACTTTTAAGTTAAACACATTTGGAACAATTCGGACATATGTGAATCTAAATACAGATCAAGTAGTTCTGATGAAAACTCAGCATCTGAACTGAGAAGTACCATAAAGAATAAACTGCACACAGATTTCAAAGACTTAGGAGGAAAAACTGTACATAAAATGTGTGATTAATCATTTTTATAATGATTATAGGTTAAAAAGATAAAATTTCAGATATACTGTGTTAAATTTAATATATTCTTAAAATTCATGTGCTGCTTTTACTTTTTAAAATGTGACTACTAGAAAATACAGCTCACATATTATTTCTACTGGACAGGGCTGCTTTAGATCCATGGTTCTCCAACTATCAAATTACTGGTGCCTGGCTCCCAATCCCAGAGATTCTGATGAAATTGGTCTGGGGTGGGCCTGGGCGTTAGGGTTTTTAAACTCTCCCTGGTGATTCTATTCATCTGCCAAGGTAGAGAACCACTGCCCCAGGTTAACACAGATTCATTGATCCCAACTGATAAATAATGACCTCAGAAGGACCTAATATCTTTTGGGCGCTCCATCATCCCTCAACAAAAATGTGGAGTTGGAAAGGTAGTGCCCATTTCTTACCTAAAGGGTGAAAAAGCATCCCCGCTGATGTCATCTGGGCTGAACGCTGGGTGACAATTTTCCACCTCGACTTCAGGCAGAATCAAACATACCCAGATGAAACTCAGTGTTTCCAGAAACCCACCACCAGTTCTTCCAGTAACTCATTCCCATATCTGATGTAGGGGATCTCCTACTTGTGTGTGTTTAGAACAATCTCCTGGGTAGTGTGTTTACAAGCAGGTTGCTGGGCCCTAGCAATTCATGGTAGCTCTGTGGTAGGGGGACCAACCACCCTGGTTTGCCTGGGACTGTCCTGGTTTTGGTCTTAGCCAGAAAATCCCACATCCTGGGAACTGCTCAGTTCTGGGCAGACTGGGACGGTTGGTCATCCTACCCCAGGGAAGCGGACATTTAACAAGCAGTCCGGGTGATACTCATGCATTCCAGGTGAGCACAGTTAGAGAGCCACTCCGAGAAACACAGATGCTCGAATACTTCGTAAAGTTCTTTCTGGATTAATCAACTGCCCTGAGAAGATAGCCACTGAAGTTACACAAATAATCAGTTCAGCAAATAACTGACTGGGGAAATTGCTCTAATTTAATTAAACATATTAATTGTTTAAAACTATTTGGGAGGAACGAGTACCAAATAAATCACCCAGACAGCCTTGAAGCGAATTCTTTTGTCAGGAATTCGGCAGAGAGGGGCGGGGAGGCAAAGTAAATGCGTGGCATGAAGTCATGTCAGTCTTGAGTTTGAATCATTGTTTCTGTCATTTGCTAGCTGTGCAACGTTAGGGAAGTTCCTTAACCTCTCTGTGCCTCAGTGTTTTCATCTGTAATGATGAAATGAGTAATTTATACTGACACTGAAGGTTAGCCATGAGAATAGGAAATAATGCATTGCACCCGACAAATCCCAGTTGAGGAACATTCTACAACATACCTGACCAGTACTCCTCAAAAAAACTGTCAAGGTCATCAAAAATAAGGAAAGTCTGAGTAACTGTCACAGCCAAGAGGAGATATGACCATCAACTGTACTGTGGCATCCTGGAAGAGATCCTGGAACAGAAAAAGGACATTAGGGTAAAAACTAACGAAATTCAAGTAAAGAATGGATGTTAGTTAATATTAACGTATCAAAACTGGTTTATAGCTTACGACAAATGTACCATACTCAGGTAAGATGTTCATAATAGGACAAACTGAGTGTGGGGTGTATGGGAACTCTGTACATCTCTGCAACTTTCCTGTAAAAATAAAACTATTCTAAAACTTAAAGTTTATTACCAAAAAATGCCTAGCAGAGTAGTACCCAGGCCAGAAGTACATGTTAACAATAGCTGTTACTATTATTGTGAGCTGTATATGTAAATCATATGAGGAATGATCCCAACAAGAAGACCGTCATCTTGATTCAACATTTTTGGGAGAAACTAGGAGCTGTTCTTGGAGACTGGGGTTGAGGGAAGGGAGGAGAAGAGAAGAACAAAGGGGAGATGAAGAGGCCATGGACACTGTAGATTTTGTCTCTAGCAGAGCCACGCCTGTAACTTCTGACATGGGACCCAGCTGGTTTTCTTCAGAGTCTGTCATTATTTTCTTCATTCAATTGTTCTCTGTTCTGAGCCCGACCTCCTCTCTCGTTCTGCCTGCGGGCACGCACGCACATGCGCACACACACGCGCCCCGTCAGAATGTCAGCTTGAAGGCAGAGGCCTCATCGGATTCGTCACTTCTGTATCTACCCAGCACAGCACTTGACATGGGGTAGAAACTATCTGTATTTGCTGAATGAAGGACATGATACCACTTGACCATCAAAGGGTGGAGGGAAAATGCTCTGTTAGGACTAGAACTAGAATCCTTTTCATATATGTCATCTCCTCCTAGCCTTCTTATAGCTCCCCTACCACTCAAAAAATAAAAGTGTCCAAGCAAAGAGACACCAACACCACTCCATTGCCCAAGTAACCTCGCATGGGGGGAAGGGGAAAGGGGACCCCCACATTTGGGTCCAGATCGGCTGCCCCATGTAGTAGTTTACATTTGCAACGATAGGTGATAGAGCTTAAACAGAAATACCGTAGTAACTGCTGTCCTATATCGTACCTCATGTTTTCTATTTAATTTAAGCCTCACACAGATTTGGTTAGGTAAGCAAGGCAGATGTTCTTAGCTCCACTGGAGAGACATAAACATTTCTGAAAAGGAAGGAAGGAAGGGAGGAAAGGAGAAAGAAGGGGGAGAAGGGAAAGGGAAAGAGAAGATAGACCTGTAAGGCGGCCACAGCATTCATACAATTAATGGGTCACTGTATTAGTTTCCCGGGGCCCCCATAACAAACTACCGCAGATGGGCTGGCTTAAGCAACGGACATGTATTTTCCCAGTTCTGAAGCCTGGGAGTCTGAGCTCCAAGTGCCACCAGGGGTGCTGCCTTGCTGGGTCCTCATCTGGTGGACAGAGGGAACTGTGGTGTCTCTTTGTCTTACAAGGACACCAGCCCTGTCAGACTGACACCCCACGCTTAGGTCCTCATTGAATATTTTTTTTTTTTTAAAGATTTTATTTATTTATTTATTTGAGAGAGAGAGAGAGAAAGCACATGAGAGGGGGGAGGGTCAGAGGGAGAAGCAGACTCCCTGCCGAGCAGGGAGCCCGATGCAGGGCTCGATCCCGGGAGTCCAGGATCATGACCTGAGCCGAAGGCAGTCGCTTAACCGACTGAGCCACCCAGGCGCCTGGGCCTCATTGAATTTAATTACCTCCTTAAAGGCCCATCTCCAAATACAGTCACATCTCAGGTTAAGGCTTCAACTCATGAACTTGGTTGGGGGGGGTGGCACAAGTGAGTCCACACAAAGGTGTTCTCTGACCAGGGGCAAGAGGGTTAACAGGACAAGCAGGGAGGGACAACTGGTTGGACCGGGGGTCAGCAGGCCTACTCGGAAGGCCACCTTTATGTTGTGAATAAACCTGTACTGGGTCACGGCCACACCCACCATGGACAAACTGCCCAGGCTTCTGCTAGGAGGCGCAGTTGAGCAGCTGCCACAGAGTCTGGCTCACAAAGCCCCAGTTACTCTGCAGCCCTTCACAGAAGTGCGCCCACTCCCGGCTTAGGCCAATACAGGATTGCTTGCTTTATCCGGAAAACAACTCCCTAGGTTGCATTCTTGCCACTTCGAGGATAAGGCAGTGGAGCCTCTACAAGGAGAAGTGACTGCCACATTCATAGCCAGCAAGCCTGGAGAAGATCTCGAACATTCGGAAAGGTGCCCTTTCCAGGCCACCCCACCACAGGACCTAGGGCTTTTCTCCTAGACCTTGGAATCGCCTGTGGCCTGGGTAAATGGTCCCGCCAGCTCCATGGCTTTCCCTCTCAGCCTCACAGACTGTTGTCACTCAGGCCCGAATGTCCCACTGTCCTCATTCATACCTTACTAGTTTTTGCTTATATCTATTTTAGGTGGTCGGTTTCTTGAAATTTTATTTTCTTTCCGTTTGTTTTGTGCCAGGGCATGTGTTTTGTATGATTAGCATTCACACAGAAAGCAGATCACTTGCATTAAGGGAGCCTTGCAAATAATAATGTAGACCTTAACGGGTTTCCAGGGATAATTTCGGGACTGTTAGTCCTAAATGCAATTGCTGGTCCTTTTCATTATTAGACAGCATGTTCCCTTTTCAGCATCCGACATTGAACTCAGGGTGCTTTCCTTATTGTATCTATTACGACTCGGGTTCCTGTTTATTGAGGCATTTGTCAACAGGAAACAGTTCTTAGATCCATCTTTGAATTAGTGGAGACATTCCTCAAATGTGAATCCAGAGCCTTTTCATTAGGCCTACAGTAGAATTTAAGGAAGCAAAACGGCAACTGGGATTACTTTTACTATTGGCTAAAGGATCTCTTACTAGGACTTGGCTTCTTGATCTTCCTGTGCATACAAATGATCTGCATGGGGGCGCCTGGGTGGCTCAGATGGTTAAGCGTCTGCCTTCGGCTCAGGTCATGATCCCAGGGTCCTGGGATCGAGTCCCACATCGGGCTCCCTGCTCCTTGGGAGCCTGCTTCTCCCTCTGCCTCGCTCTCTCTGTCTCTCATGAATAAATAAATAAAATCTTTAAAAAAAAAAAATGATCTGCATGCAGACTGTTGCTGCTTTCGTGTATCCACATCATTTCCTCTGAGCAGCGGCCTCGTTCCCACTTCACGTGGTCCTAGGTGGGCTGCCAGGTACAACATTCCAGGCCCCTGCAAATCATATCACCCCATTCTACCCTGAGACACAGCAGCTGATGCAAGGGAAACTATGTGACCCGATAGGAGCCAAGTCCCCAGAATGTTAAAGAAGTTGGGAGAGAGGCCATCAAACAAAGGGACGCTGTGCTGAGGGAGGGAGGCAGAGCCCCCCAGATCCAGCCCTTCTTGAGGTCTTGCCCACCCCTGGACTTCCTGGGCATGTGAACAAATGCATTCCTTTGTCTGCTTAACTAATCCAAGTCAGACTTCTCACTCAAAATCCAAAAGGTCCTCACTAATGTAACATACTTCCAGATTTTCCGACTGTCCTCAGAAATACGCATCAGCAACTCCCAGAGGGCACAGGGCACTGGGCATTGGGATCCACGGGTCCCCCTCCTAGCTGCAATCTCAGAAGTCCTAAGCCATCCCTCTGCCAGGCCAGAGGGCCTTAGAAATGGACACGGGATGTAACATCATTTCTCGGATACGTGTATGCCTTCTGTGAGGCGCACAGTACACGCTGGACTTGCTGTCCTGAGTTCTACATCTCCCTGTCCTTTGGCCTGGCTTGGGGTAGAAGCAAGACAAAAACCTTATGCTAGGACACTGATGGTATCGAGCTGCGGAAAAGACCACACGGGCTTAACGGCTGGGCCCACAATACTGATAATGCTTGCGAGAGTGAGCTAGCCACTCTGGCAACCAGTCTGGTGCCAGGGCTGGACCCCACACCTACCAGTGGGCCCAAGCACGGCCGACATAATGAGGAGGAGAAATACAGCCCAATGCCCCCCTCCAAGTGGCTACAAAATTACCCCTTTGGCGAAGATCCATTGTTTTTCCTTCTTCGTTTTCCACAAGATACCTCTCTGAACCTGTCTAAACTCTGCATCACTAGATTCTTCAACTGTCACCTGAAGTGTTAGCTATGACTCAGAGTTTCCTGCGAGAAACTCTATACCCTCCCCCTCTGCAGAGGAAAGGACCTGACTGAGGCCTGCCCACACCAGCCAAAACTCTGTGCCAAGTGGCTGGGAGACGCCTTAACGCCGTGTGAACTGCGCGCTTACGTGTGTTTGCAGGTACTGATAAATAAGCACACTTCTTTGCTGTCTCAGTTCTTCGCAGTTTAACTTGGCTTCCTCTGTTTCAGACTGATGGGAACTGAAGTCAGTTCTTAAGACCCACAGGGGAGGAAAGCTCTTTGTGTTAAAGGCGGTCCGCCAAGGTGCTAATTCCATCTTCAGTAGGTTTTTCCCAGGACTGTGCTCCTCATCCAGGAATTTTCTCTGAGCTTGGTGGTTCCCGCGTCCAAATTCCAGCTTTGAATAAATAAACCAGCCAAAGTGCTCCGGCGCCTCAGGGAATAGCAGGGCGGTTTCTGAACCTCCATCGCCCCCCAGTGGCAAATCTTTTTTTGTCAGGGATATTCTTACTCAAAAGGCTTACGAATTCTTCCCTCCGAAGTTGTTTTTCTTTTAAAAAAAAAAAAATGTTTTTTTTTTTAATTCTCACACTGAAGATCATGAAAAGTTTGTGTGGGGTGTGTTAGTAATGTCAAACTAATAGTTGCTGGGTCACGGGGTCACAGATTCATGCAATTGACAAGAAATATGCAATTGGATAGATCTCACCAAGTGGGGTGCCCCTTTAAAAAATTCCTACTTATCATAGCTGCAAAGTCCAGTATGAAAGTGATTACCTCAAATAAGTTTTTTTTTATTTAGAGGATCCAGACCTGGGTTTCCATTTTTTCTGGTCCAATTAAACCGCTACTAATAACTATGGCTTTTGGGGACTTGTGCTATCCCTTTGTAAACTTTTCCACCATAAAATGTTTTGTAACATTGTCCAAGGAGGTGAGAAAATATTCAAACCAATAAAAGTGAAGGTTTATAAATCATATATGTATGACTTTGCAAAAGCCAACATCGAACCCACACAAAGTACACAAAAATATCACTGTCAGGTTGGCAAAACTTTCAGCAGATTATGCATGAAGTGGCAGAACGAAATGAATAAAAGTTTTAGTGATTTCAAACTTCAAGCAGATGAAACCCCAAAATAGGTGACAGAGGTGCCCTGAGTCATCAAACATAGATAGTTTAATGACACTAAACAGTCTCAATGGTCAGCAGGGAGTGATGTACAAGATTTAATTCATCACCCACTCATCCACCCACCTACTATCCCATCCAATCCTCATCCATTCATCCAGCCACCCATCAGCCCATCCTCCCACCTACCCACTTAGACAGGTTGAGAAAGGCATCCTATGGAAAACAAAGGAGAACAAGTGGGTCTTCAGTGCAGGGATGATTTTGCAGCCACTGAGTAGTGTGCTGTGGGCTCTGTTTCTCTTTCCTGATGACCCGCATCTACCCATCTCTACATTAGGCAGGTGCCAGACACTGTGTGAGGTGCCAAGGAGAAAAGATGAATAAGATGCAGTACCTGCTTTCATGGCTCCAGAAGCAAAAGAGAGTTTTCAGACTTTTCAATCTGGTCTCTACTCTGAGGCTCCATTCTCAGAGAAGGTGGAAATAAGCAGTACCAAATCGCTAAGTCCTGAAAAGACTCTCAGTGGGTGGCATCCAGATGGCCTAGAGACCTAGTTGGGCTTGGCTGCATACAGTAGAGATGAGAACTCATCCAGCTACAGCCATTGAATATTTTCTCTGAAAAACAAAAGGTGGGTTCTTTGGGATTCCAAAAATACAAACTATTTTGTGGGAGAGAACATATGAAACAGCCAAGGAACATTTTCATAGCATAATAAGCTCACAATTTGCATTAAATACAGTCAGTGCTTTTTATGGCTGGTATAAATTATTTCACCTCATTTTCTAGAAAAGGAAGAACTAGAATTGAGGAAAGCAAGTCCAGACTAAAGAAGCTTACCTTCAGCTCAGAAAAGGGAAGGTTCTTGCCTCCCTACCCACAATGGAGTTCATATTTCAACATAGTTTTCAGACCACAGTGAATTCTTTTGGTTTACCACCCGCTATGCTTCGCCCCCATGCTCCTTTTAGCTTAGAGGCCAGGCTCAGAGTCCTGTAAATAGTACTAACCCGGTGCTAACCTCCTACACACCAAGCATTCCTGCCACTCCTAAATCCTAACCGGAAGTGCATGTCCTTCAGCTTCCTTTACTCAGATCTTATTTCCTTTCTGGACAGAACATTCTCCTCCTCTTGCCACCCCTCTCCTCTACCCCCACTTTGAAGGATAAACTTCATCAAATCTCTCTCAAATCCTAGTGGTCTGGGGGCCTCATTATTAGTGCCAAAGCACATCTTCTTGTGCGTGTCGAGCATAATATCTTGCACATAGTAGGTCCTCAATAATATGTTAAAAGCAAGGGAGGGACACCTGAGTGACTCAGTCGGTTAATCGTCTGCCTTCAGCTCAGGTCATGTTTCTAGGGGCTTGGGATCAAGTCCCACATTGGGCTCCTTGCTCAGCAGGGAGCCTGCTTCTCCCTCTGCCTGCCTCTCTCCCTGCTTGTGCGCTCTCTCTCTCTCTGACAAATAAATAAATAAAATCTTTAAAAAAAAATAAAAGCAAGGAAAAGGCGGATGGTGGGGAGAGAAGGATGGGAGGAAGAAGGAAGGATGGAAGGGAGAGAGTAAGGGAAAACAGAGAATAATATAGAAAGGAAAGGTAGAGAAAAGAATTATTTTATAAGGACCCGATGTTCCCACTGATAAACACCACCCAACAATGAAACAGTCCCTTGTCCTCCTTAGGAAATGACCTAAGCATACTGCTGAGGTTTCTTTTCAGGGACATAATTTTCATGAAACAAATTAATCTATTGGAGTTACTGGTTCAAAGTGATGATTCTCAGTGTTTTCTCATACTCTGGGGGCCAGACTGAGCTGTTCACTGTTACAATAAAGTAAAAGCCACACGCAAACATGCACACATTAATTTTCAGGAAATCTTTAAATGAACAGCAAGAGTGTTCTTAATTTTAACCCTTTCTCCAGCACACATAGAGGTGGAGTTCTCACATATGTTGTCACGTGCTCATAGAGAACAAAGCAGATGAACACACAACAACCACCAAAAAGTCAAGTGAAGTTCCCAGAAATGGAATTTCTTGTAAATATTTAACCACCAGCATAAGACACAATCAGTTGTTTCTTTTTCATCTGATGCAGAAAATCTGTATTGCATCATGTTCACAAGGAGTACCAGTGCATTCCCATTTTAGCAGCCATTCCTCAGTGTGAGGAATTCCAACACCACAGCAGGCTCACCTGGGGATAAATGGGTTTGCACAGAGGAGCTCTTGCAGGTGGGCCTCAAACCACATCAGTGCACATACTCCTCTCTCACTTTGGGCGGCTCAGTGCTTAGCACGGCAATACTGCAAAAAGCAATGAATTAAAGAATAAGACCACTTTGAGCATTATAAAGGAATTTTAAAAAATAAACCGAGTAGGGGTGCCTGGGTGGCTCAGCTGTTAAGTGTCTGCCTCCGGCTCAGGTCAAGATCCCAGGGTCCTGGGATCGAGCCCCGCATCGGGCTCCCTGCTCCGCGGGAAGCCTGCTTCTCCCTCTCCCACTCCCCCTGCTTGTGCTCCTGCTCTCGCTATCTCTCTCTGTCAAATAAATAAATAAAGTCTCAAAAAAAATAATAATAATAATAAACCAAGTATATTATTATTACTAAAATTGTTATGTAAATAAAGGTAGGGGCGAATTATATCATTATTCTAAATAGTGGACTAATCATACTCATCTCTACTAGTCGCTAAATATGTTACAAAGCTGAATTCGTTTAGGGTAACTGAAAACTTTAGATAAATGCTCTTGCTTCCACATGAGAGAAGAGAGAGAAGCAGTTTTCTTTCACTATGAGGTAGTTTAAAGTAGAGCTTCTTGAACTATCTGCAATGGAGGACTAGGGTTTGTTTTTTTTGTTGTTGTTGTTTTTTTTAAGATTTTATTTATTTATTTGACAGAGAGAGACACAGCGAGAGCAGGAACACAAGCAGGGGGAGTGGGAGAGGGAGAAGCAGGCTTCCTGCCGAGCAGGGAGCCCGATGTGGGACTTGATCCCAGGACCCTGGCATCATGACCTGAGCCGAAGGCAGACGCTTAACGACTGAGCCACCCAGGCGCCCAGACTAGGGTTTTTTTAAATTTCTAATCACAGACCAATATTTTTGTAAAACAACAAAAACAAAAAATTACTAATGAAATAAAAAGCAAACACACAAAACGCAAGCTGAACTTTGGATTCACTAAATATAAAATCACTTAAACTGCTGCAAAAGTTTCCAAATGCTTGCTCTTGATCTCTGTATATTTTTGTATGAACAACACAGAGGGTACTCTAAAACCTTGCCATCTAAAGTATGGTCCTTGGACCAGCAGCACCAGCATCACCTGGGCACTTGTGAGGACATGGACTCTCATCCTCCACCTAGACTCACTGAATCAGAATCTACATTTTAACATGATCCTGGAGGGATCTGAGTGCACATTCAAGTATGAGAAGCATCGGTCCAAACCATAAAATCAAAAGCAACTGTACAGGCACGTAGATATACGCATATAACTTTAAGACCACAGAGTGTTTTATGATCAACTCACCATATTTTATATAATAGGTATTTAATAAATTCACCCTTAAGCAAAGTTTAAGCCATTGTCAGCTAGGCCTAGCCTCCCTATCCCCTGGAGCTCAAGATCTGATTCACTTGAATCTCCAGATCCATGGAAGATCAAGTTTCCCTAAGTTATATGATACTTCCCAAGGACTCATGTTCCCAGGTCACCCCTGCCTGTGGATTCCTCCTTCTGCCTGTGCTGGCTCAGTTCATGTTAACTTAGATAGCAAACAACCCCTTTATCATCTTCTATGGAAGTCCATTCACCAAAGCATTTGTTGATTTTGCTACAACTCATAATAAAACAGAGACATATGGAGACTTTGTGAACATGATTAAGAAAACTATATCTAAGCCAATCTAAAAGTTAACACAACGAAACATTCCCACAAAATTTTGAAATGCCCACCACCACTTCCATTATTTAATATTTTGCTGGTAGTGCCTAGCCCATGTAATTAGCAGCGCAAAGAAATTTCAGGCATTAGAATGGGAAATGAGAAAGTAAAGTTATTATTAGTTGAGATGATATGAAAGAATCCCCGGAAAACCCAATATAAACAAAAAATAAGACCAAAGACAATAAGAAAATTCAAAACATTGTAGAACATAAGGTGAATGTAGCCAATAGCTTTCATAAATATGCCAACACTAAGTTTGAAGACATAAGGAAAGAAAGGATTTCCCTTCCACTGCAACAACAAAGTTTAAATACCAAGAAATAAGCTCATCGAAAAACATTTCAGATTTGAAGAAACACTTAAAAATGGTATTGAGGGACACAAAAGAAGAACTGAACATTTGGGAGGGTCCTGCATATTCTTGTATAGGATGACTCATTTTTCTAAAGAGTTCTCATCTTCTTAAATTAATATATAAATTTAACATAATCCCAATGAAATTACCATCCAGGTATTAAAAAAACTTGACCAGCCAACTACAAATTTGATTCAGAAATATAAATACACGAAAGTATCAAGAAAAATTCTGAAAAAGAAGTGTAATGAGAGGTTAGTGATTTGCAAGATGGTCCCAATATGGCAATGAATGTGGTATTGGTGTGTTCATGGATATGACAATGGCTCAGAGCAAAAAATCCAAAAATAGGTCCAAGAATACAGGGGGATTTAACGTCTTAATAACGAAGAGACATCTCAAATCTAAGTATAGGGGTGTCTGGGGGGGATAGTTTATTGGATAAATCATCCTGGGACAATTGAGTAATTGTTTGAAAAATATAGAAGGGGATTGGAGCTGCAACTTATTCCTTACACCAGGATAAATTTCAAATATATTAATGTTTTAAAATAAAAAGTGAAAACTTTTAAAAACTTGAAAAAACATGAAAGAATTTATTTAGAACTTGAAAAGAAAATACTTCTGACTATGTTATTAATACCCAGAAACCGTAAAAGACTGCAAATTAAGTTGCACAAAAATTACTCGAAGCAAAACTCACCATAAGAAAAAACCCAAGAAAAATGATGAAAAGAAAACACGTCTAACTTATTGTTATGGACTGAACTCTGTCCTACTCAAAATTCACACGTTGAAGCCTTAACCCCAAATATCATTTTAGGGCTAGTAATCTTTAGGGAGGTGATTAAAGTTAAAAGAAATCATACGGAATTAGACAAATACTACACGATTTCACTTACATGTGAAATCTGAAAAACAAAACAAACAAATGAAACTCATAGATACAGAGAACAGACTGGTGATTATCAGGGGGGGAAAGCGGGTTGGGGGTGGGCAAAACGGGTGAAGGAAGCCACCTGTATGATGATGGATGGTAACTAGACTTATTGGGGTAATCACTCTGTAGTGTATGCAAATATCGAACTCAGCAGAAGTTGACATTGCAGTCCTGAGTCTGAAATCTGTAGGACAGGCTGTCAGGGAAACATTTCCTGAGTACCTACCATATGCTGGACATGAGGCCAGTCTCAGAGACCATGGAATGGGTGGGGCATGGTCCCCACCAACAGCCTCATCAATACCCTAGGGAGCAAGACAGACATACATTCAGACAATTTCATTTATTGTGGCTAATTTATAAAGTTACTGTGGGAATATAAAGAAAATGTATTTAGCCATGGCCTTTACTCTGGAGGAGATGATCTCTGAATTGACTTTTTTTTGACAGAGAGAGACACAGCGAGAGAGGGAACACAAGCAGGGGGAGTGGGAGAGGGAGAAGCAGGCTTCCTGCGGAGCAGGGAGCCCGATTTGAGGCTCGATCCCAGGACCCTGGGATCATGACCTGAGCCAAAGGCAGACGCTTAACGACTGAGCCACCCAGGTGCCCCTACCATTTTATTTTTAAACGTACAATTCAGTGGCATTAAGCGCATTTACAGAGCTGGGCAACCATCACCCTGAATTGACCACTAAAGGCTAAGTAGGGGTTATTCCAATGTAGCAGACATTGTCACATGCTATAGAAGTCACATTCTCTCCCCACCTCCGTTTTTTTTTTTTTTTTACACAAATGGTATCATACTTCACACAGTGTTTTCACTCTTGTTCTTCTTTACCTAAAATATCTTGGAGGTTTTCCATATAGTACATAAAACATTCCTTTTGCTTTTTACTTAACAGATGTATACTATTCCACTGTTTGGATTAATATAATTTATGTAACTGGTCTTTCACTGATTATATAAATTTGGATGGTTTCTAATACTTTCCTATTACAAATAATACTACAATGAGTAATAATACACTTACATCATTTCTCACGTCTTTAAGCATATCTATGGAATATGAAAGAACATGGAATTGTGTGGGACCAGAGGAATTGTGGGAAAGAACAGAGAACTGTGGGAAACAAGGGGAATTGTGGGAGAGAACACGGAATTGTAGGACACAAGAGAAATTTTGGGAGAGAATAGGGAATTATGGGGGACAGGAGGAATTTTGGGAGAGCACAGGGAATTGTGGGGAACTGGACAAATATTGGGAGAGAACAGAATTGTGGGGGAACAGAGGAACCGTGGGAGAGATTGGAGAATGGTGGGGAACAAGGAGAATTGTGGAAGAGAAGAGAGAATTGTGGGAAACAAGGATAGCTGTAGAAGAGAAGAGAATTGTGGGAGAGAATGGGGGAGTTATGGGAAAGAATAGAGAATTGTGGGCAACAAGAGGAATTGTGGGAAAGAACAGAACTGTGGGAGATAATAGGGAATTGTGGGGGAAAAGGAGAATTGTGGGAAACAAGGAAAATTGTGGGAGAGAACAGAGACTTGTGGGAAACCAGGGAAATTGTGGGAAAGAATAGAGAATGGTGGGAAACATAGGGAATTGTGGGAGAGAACAGAGACCTGTGGGTGAGCAGAGGAATTGTGGGAGAGAACAGAAAACTATGGGAACAAGGGGAAATATCGAAAGAAAACAGAATTGTGGGGGACCAGAGGAATTGTGGGAAACAAATGGAATTATGGGGAAATACAGAGAATTGTGGGAGAAAACAGGGAATTATGGGAGGAAAAAGGGAATTGTGTGAAGCAAGGGGAATTATGGGAAAGAATAGACAAAAGAACAGAGAATTGTGGGTGTGACAGGGAATTGTGGGAAAACAGAAAATTGTAGGAGAGAACAGAGAATTGTGGGAAAGAACAGAGATTTGTGGAAAATAAGGGGAATTGTGGAAGAGAACAGAATTGTTGGGGACCAGAGGACTTGTAGGAGAGAATACAGAATGGTAGGAAACAAGGGGAATTGTGGGAGAAAACAGGGAATTGTGGGAAAC